AAATAGCTGCAAAATGCAATTAGTTATCATGAGGCGACACATGAACGCTCTTGTTGGCGTCCGCGCCGAATGGCGATGTCCCTTATGGAATGAAATCAAATTTTGTGAATGGGCAATTGCAACTTCTCGGACCTTTCAATCGGTCATAATAACCTATCATTCCTTGTATGAGGGTGTTTGATTATTAAAAATGAAATGTCGCGATATGTACAATGAATATCGAACTGGAGAATTTCGCGATGCAAACATATTCATATGATATTATCTTTTCCATCAACTAATCGCGCTCTTCGGGTTTTTTATTAATCATTTTGTAGTACACAGAGAGTTATTATGTATGTAATTGTTGTACATGTATCCAAAAGCTATAAATAGAATGATGACCTTATCATTGTGAATGTCCGAATATATATTCATAGAAGCAGTTTTAGTTTAACGAAACGGTCATTCGTGTCGCGCTATGGTAATAAATTACAAACTGGAGAATTTTGAAGGAACTGAAATGGAAATATATTCAAAAAATTAACTGCATTCGTTATAAATTTAAAGAAAAAATTTAAGATTGCCATTTTTTTTACGAATTGTTGTATCGTAGTATTATTATTTTGTAAAAGATTTTTTTTTTGGAGGTTCTTTCCTGTTTTCTTTTTAACGGGCCTGATTGCACTTATGACATTATTACCATGTGTGTGTGTTTGTGTTTGTTTACCCTCGCCAGCGCGTATAATATTTAAATCGACCAAGTATAACTTTATATGTCGCTTTTATTTTGACGTTGTGCGCAGTAGTATACTATCAAACCTATTCACTGTTCAAGTCTCTTTTTCTAAAATCGACCCTGATTTCCCTACCATTTCGTATGTTCCAAAGAAAATACCACATGAACTTGAAATTCGTTCAAATCACGAATATTAATAATAATATCCAAAAATACCCCATGTACAGTATAAATAAACTTATACCATATGGAAAGTATATTTTGGATATCATTGACCTGTATATTTTGGATATTATCGTTAATATTGATAAAATTTCAAGGTCCTGTGGAAAAAAAAGGTAACATTCTAATCTCTAGCATGCCTACCAAAGTTCATAATGAACAATGCATTTCTTCCACCCATTCATAAATGATATACAATTCTATTAAAAACCAATTAACCATTGAAAAGTTTATAAGAATATCTTGTCATCATATGTCTACTTGTTCATCTTCACTTGCTGCATTTCTTGGTTGATCGCTCTTGGATGCTTTGCATCAATGCTTTTCTTGTAATTATATGATTTTAGTTTACGTACGTGTAGTAAGTTGAAAAATGAAACAGGACCCAATTTTTAAATAGGGCATAAGTAACAATTCAAGTGTTAGTACAGCGAACAAAGAAATTCAAAATATAATCTAATATTAAATATATCTGTATATTTATAACAATTTGTGCATTTGATTTGAGATATGAGTAAAATTGCTCAACGAGTTTTCAAGCGAAGCGAGCAGAAGAATATACATTTATTACATTCTTATTAAAATAATAAGAAAAAATGAACTGATGGTTTGCTTGGAAATTTAATTGGAGGCACCGGGTGAGCACTCCCCCCTCCCTCTCTCTCTCTAAATCTGCTCCGGCTTTTCTATAAATAGTGTTTATAGTAAAGCGAGATATTAAATCCAAAAACTGTTACTATTTATAGTAAAATTGGGTTTCTGGTTTATCAATTATTCAGGTCACCTTTATTTCTTATTTACGTGTTTAACTAACAATTTGAACAAATGTGTGGCTTTTCAGTGAAATAGATCATTTTATAGGGACACTTTCCGTTTAGATATAATGACATTTTTCTGGACAAGAAGCTTGGCAAAGGAATGAGCAGCAGTTGTCTAGAGGAAATGTGTCGAGTGATCTTATTTTAACGAAATATTCTTAATCGAGGATTCGAAGTAAGCTGTTATCTGTGAATATAATATTATCAATTAATTTAAATAAGTCAGTATACAAGTGTAATTTAGGAATTATTCAGCTTATTATTGGGAAGCTTGTTATCATATTGATTTTAATAAGTACCATTCAACGCTTCAACACTTAGTATAACAAATCAGAATAAAAAGGATAAAATACAAAGAGACCCACAAATGATACAAGATACAAGACAATACAGATACAGGTTTGATTTAGCGATAAAAATTAAAACATAAGATAATCTATAAATTTTGTTTTACGAAATAACTGAAACATATTTCTGTACGATAACAACTGAAAGAGACTCCACTGAAGCTTTTAGACAAGACGGGGTGAAAATATTTCCTGAGATTTGTGTACTAAATGATTTAGAGCCTGTCTAATAATTTGCATTCATTCCCTATTGAAATGACGTCAAATTTGAACATTATGATTAAAGGATATACATGCAGTCATGTCTAGGCGAAAAGATACTGCACATGTAAAAACCAATACAAAATGTCAATTAATTTGTATTAATTTGTAACTAAGAGGAAAGTGTCCATTCACTTTTTTCTTTTTTCAGTAGAAAGAAAGTGAAAGTAGATCTTGACTTTGGAAAAAAACATTATGTTACCCCGTGTAAACACATGACATTTAGTGTATTCATATAAAAATCATGTCAGAAATTAGCTACTGAGTATCAAATGCCCCAACTCATTCAATATCGAGCAAATGAAAACTCGCATCATCCGTATTGCCGTATATCTCATGCTACTTGCGAAATTGATACGACACCAACCTCCATATTTCCCTCCGCGCGCAAAGTGACGTAAATCATGCATATTTGTTAGGTCAGTCTCGGCCCTTTCCGTCAGTCTTCGGATAAGGACCTCGAACACAATAGTATGAATACACAGAACGGATGCGGTATTCCGGTCTAACCTACGCTAAGAAACTAAACATGTAAACAAATAGTAATTTAATGCTGTGAGTTGTTGACACGTTTATTTCCAATGTATGTAGTAAAATTCCACCTGAAATAAGTGAATTCATAGGTACAAAAGCAAACAATACATTATTTATATATTTACTAATATGGCTGTGAAACCGAAAGTACAAAAAACCAACCTGTTGACATTTGGTCGGATTTATTTAAAATTGAACATCAGAAGGCATATTTAAATAACAAATTGTTGTCGGACATATTTTCAAGCATAAGAGTACCGGAACAGACATTAGATGTCAAATATATACATTCGTTTTACATTATCTCTGTTTCTGTTTACATCAGTAAACCACGTGGTAGAACTACTTTCAATCCGTATTGTTTCCGAGGTTAATATTGTAGATAATAGCCGAGGCAGTTCCGAATGATTGAAACCCACCATTCAGGTAATTCTTTAGGTAGTGACGTATTAAGTTAATTGTAATAAGGCATAATAAAGCTTGACACTAAGTATGTTAGTATTCATCTGTAGCTGTTCTAAAGAAATAAGAAACATTCTCTAGTTGCTATCGCTCCCATCGAAGTTTCTTATTTCTGTAGAACAGCACGGATGAACACTAACATACATGTATAGCTTAATCGACTTTTGACATATGAAAATACATCAGTATAAAAAGTCTTGAGTACGTGGGGAGGCTTCTACGATGTAATAGTTCAAAAAGGTTAGCATGACTTTATTTGTCTAATGCTTTTTAAAAGAATAAAAATGATAAACTCTTCTAACTTCTTTTGGTTAAATATTACGATCATACAGCCATTTTTTCAGAAAAAGAGACCATAACTTGGGGAAAATATTTAAAAAGATGAACAACTGTCATTGAGTAAACATTTTTCTACAATTCCAAAACAGACAGGCTGCTTTTAAGACTACGACATTTTTTGCATTTTGTTAAAGGTGAGTAAAGTACCTACGTTACTGTTTTGCCCTACAATACTTTTTAAAACTCTATATGCGTAAATGTTCGAATTTCATTATTGTGTGTCACTAACTGTTGTCAAAAATTATTTAACTAAATTATGTAAATTAAATGAAATCTATCTTTATTCATTGGTGTATTTAAATAGTATAATATCATCATATGCATGTAACCCTATTTCCCGCCATCCACAAAATAATTTCAGCTATCACTGTAATTAACAAAGTTCAACTTTCAAAGTTTATTATATGATTTTACCTTATTTCCGTGTAATAGTTTTAAAAATGAAGCAGAAAAAATAATGTTGATCAATAACATCATTTGTAAACATTGTATTAACTTTTTCCAGCGCAGCAAGCAGAAAAATATAAATACATTAAATACTTATTTATATAAAAGTTAAATAGATAAATACAGAATCCCTAAAGAAAGCCCAACACGACAAAATTGAAAATGTTGCAGGCTCGGTTTGATTGAGCCCGTTCATGGACGGTACTGGAAAGTGCAAATTACCGTCCACGCCCCCTAGCACCGGCTTAAGTAGAATTCAACATTTAAACATGAAATAGTAAAATTTTGAATTTAGAAACATCCGCAGATGTGTTCATACGGCGGATATCATGGAACCTTCAATGTGACACTTCCGTGCCTTTAAACATATAATATTAGGTATTGAGATTTTGTTTGGATACTGTAGTGTGACCGCCGGTTGAGCAAACGCCTCCGTCAATGAATCCACCCCGGCTTTTGCTACGATAAATATTTCTTTAAATAGTGTGTACTTTACATGTGATATATTTAGCTGTGAACTTCCGAAAACTGTTTCTATTTATAGTCAAAATGGGTTTCTGGTTTAATTCATTCATTCGGGTTTATGCGTAGATAGGAAAATGTTTCTTCTTGTGTTAATATTGGATTTTTTATTAACAAATTGGACTAACGTGTTGCGCTTCTGTTGAAAGGGAAAACTCAGCCTTGAAAAACCGGAATTTTCTGGAAAATATATTATTTTGCAAATAAATCAACTAAAACTTATATTTCTATGTCTACAAATGTAAAACTACATGCATGCTGAAAATGGGTTAACAGATTATACAATAGTCCGAACAGCTCGTTAAAGGAAGGTAAGCTTAAATGACTCATCGTTCTAAAGGCCTCAACAGACGGCATGAGTTTGAAGTACCATACCAATTAAACTTAGATTTACAAGCAAATCTTAATGTGTGAAGACTACTTTTTCTCGAATTTGTACAATTTAATACTAGATTTTCAGTATAAGACATGTTCTATCTCTAAATTGTAGTTGTACAGACCTCCCATGATCACAGGTGACAGATTTCCCAATTATCCACTGATAGTGTGTTTAATGAATGATATTCCAGAGCAATAAGGGCTAAAATGTAATTTAAGTAGTAAGATTGGGTAAAAAGGATGTTGAAAAACTCATTGGGAGCCCCAACATTGTGGCATGTTCGAATCCCAAATTACCCAGAAAATGATTATGAACTATTTTTTTAATGGAAGAGTTTCCGTCATTACTAATCCAGAAAACATAATTTTTCACCGAGAGACCAAAATACAGAACAGAATGATTGATTTTCTATAAATAGTTGTGAAATTCCAAAAACTGTTACTATTTATAGTCAAAATGGGTTTCTGGTTTATCCATTTTTCAGGTCACCTTCATTTCTACAATTTGAACAAATGTGTTGCTTTTCAGTGAAATAGAACATTTTATAGGGACACTTTCTGCTTAGAAATAAGGACATTTTTCTGGACAAGAAGCTTTACAGCAGTTGCCTAGTGGTTAAGTGTCGTGTGATCTTATTTTACTGAAATTCTCAATCGAGGATTCGAAGTAAGCTGTGAATATAATATTATCAATTGATTTAAATAAGTCAGTATACAAGTGTAATTAAGGAATAATTCAGCTTATCATTGGGATGCTTGTTATCATAACGATTTTAATAAGTACCATTCAACGCTTCAAATAATATGACAAATCAGAATAAAAGGATTAAATACAAAGAAAACCACAAAATGATGCAAAACAATACAGATACAGGTTTGATTTAGCGATCAAAATTAAAACATTAGATTGTCTTTAAATTTTGTTTTAAGAAATAACTGAAAAATATTTCTGTACAATAACATAACTGAAAAAAACTCCACTAAAGTTTTTAGACATGGCGGGGTGAAACTATTTTCCTGAGATTTGTGTACCAAATGATTAAGGCCCTGTCTAGTAATGTGCATGCACATTTAAGCTCATTCCCTATTGAAATGACGTCGAAAATTCAACCTACATTGATTTTTATTTATGGATAAAGGATATACATGCAGCCACGTCTAGGCGAAAATATACTGTAAAACCAATACAAAATGTCAATCAATATCGTTTTATTACAAATGTATAGAAAAGGGTCTAAATTTGTAACTAAGATGAAAGTGTCCATTCACTTTCTTTTTTTCAGTTGAAGGATAGTGAAAGTAAATCTAGACATAAGATCTATGTTTTTGAAAAAAAACATTACGTTATCCTGTGTTAACACATGACATTTAGTGTATTCATATAAAAATCATGTCAGAAAATAGCTACTGATTATCAACTGTCCAACTCATTCAATATCGAGCAAATGAAAATTCTGGAAACAAAGTGATCCCTCGGAAGCATTAATCACAACAAAATAACATAAGAATTGCAGACTCGGTTTGATTGAGTCTGTACATGAGGGATAATGAATAAGTGCAACATCCCTCACGCCCCCTAGCACCGGCTTGAGCGGTACTCAATTCTCAACACTTTATAGTGTTGGCATCAATGATCCCGAAGGACCAGAAAATATAACAACACTGAAGTGAAGTACGGGGCAACTTTTTACGGCTGCCACACGGCACTTGACACCTGCTGTTGTGAAGTACAAAATTCTGGAAACAAAGTGATCCCTCGGAAGCATTAATCACAACAAAATAACATAAGAATTGCAGACTCGGTTTGATTGAGTCTGTACATGAGGGATAATGAATAAGTGCAACATCCCTCACGCCCCCTAGCACCGGCTTGACAGTACTCAGTTCTCAACACATAATAGTGCTGGCATCAATGATCCCGAAGGACCAGAAAATATAACAACACTGAAGTGAAGTACAGGGCAACTTTTTACAGCTGCCACACGGCACTTGACACCTGCTGTTGTGAAGTACAAAATTCTGGAAACAAAGTGATCCCTCGGAAGCATTAATCACAACAAAATTACATAAGAATTGCAGACTCGGTTTGATTGAGTCTGTACATGAGAGATAATTAATAAGTGCAACATCCCTCACGCCCTCTAGCACCGGCTTGAGCGACCGCGCAGTCTGATGAGGATTTATGCTGTTCGCTTACAGACTCTATAACAAGTACCAGCAACAGCATGGATCCTGATCAGACTGCGCGGATGCGCAGGCTGGTCTGGATCCATGCTGGTCTCAAACCCATTATGTTGGTTTTGTCATGAGCGGCTCAAATGATAAATAATTTGTTACTGATTAGGAATTCAATGAAAAAAATAATATGCCCACAAAGGGGAAGGGACAGGATACCGGGGGAAGGGGGGGTTAATCAAAGAAATAAAAACTAGAAGCAATGGAGAAGATACTTAAGCTTACCGTGGACGAGAAAACAACAAGGGACACAAGGAAAAGTGTCACCAAAACAGTTAGAAACAACATAGACATACATCTGAGGAACACAGAGGGGCGCCGCCTTGGAACGTGCAGCAGCATAATAATGACTGCTGGGGAGTTTAAACCAGTTAATGGTGCACCAAACCTCGCTCTTAGCCCCACCATGTTCCTATAAACGAGACAGTGTAAATAAAATGAATCCCCGCCAAGTGAAATTCTAACAGTTGTCATGGTTACAAAAGGTTAAATGAGTAAAACATTAAAATGATCATGTAGAAACATATAAAAATAAACCCAATGACCATAACAAAAGTACTCACTGTCCTAAAGGAAGACAGAGCAACAAGAAAATCACCTACAAGGGCCAGACGAAGCAAGGCAGAAGACGAACATTAAGACAATTCAGTCCCAAAGGGCTTTACGAACTTTCCATCATAGAGTCTCCCACTTGGTCCGTCAGATGTAATCAAAGGAGGAAAGCGTAGTGTATAACTGTAAAAGGGTTGAACACTAAACATGCAGTATGTCTTAAAATAGTAGGGTCGTGACCTCTTTTGATCAAACGTTAAATGATTTTAGTAAAAACAGCAGAAAAATTACCATGACCCAAAATCTTACGAAGTTTGTAAATCGCATCGCCATAAAAACCAGGCTGGCCAATCCCTTGTCGCAGAAGAGTTTTTAAATCACTATTGAATTTAGAAATTAAATCAAAGTTACGATTGTAAAATTAAGTAAAATATTTCCGTAATTTATAGTATATTATATATATAATTTATATGATAGCGGTGCCCTGTTTTAGAAGCTTGCTGGTAATAAGAATATTCCGCTCGTTGAAATTCTTTACGTTGCTACAAGCTCTAGCGAATCTAATTAACTGAGAAACATAAACCCCGTAAGATGTTGCATGGGGTACGTCTCCATCTAAATGTGAATAATTAACTATACAAAAGTCAAAGTCATCTCTTTTATCATAAATTTTCGTGTCAATAGAATTGTTGTTGATAGTAATATGAAGATCAAAAAAAAATGTACTAAAATTTCAAGAGTTCGTTTTATTAAGTTCATGTGGATAAATGTCAAACACCATTTGATCAAAATAAGGATTATCTAAATTAAAAAAAATCATCAAGGTATCTGGAAGTATTATAAAATGCGACTATATCATCTTGTTGCTTATCTTCAGTGAGACTCAACATAAAGTCTCTTTCATAGCAGTACAAAACAAAATCGGCGACTAGGGGTGCACAATTAGTTAAGACAATTTTTTTCTCGTATATCGATGATATTTTTTTTAAATCCTGTTTCACACGAAAATAATATAAATACTGCTAACTGATAAGTACAAAAAGTATGGATATTGTTGTCTAAATTATGTCTCATGTGTTTTGTTCCAACGTTACAGTGGAAACAATCTATAAAAATAACAATTGTTTTTTAAATTATTTTTATTACAGTTAAGTCTAATATCAATTAATTACAATCGACTTTTGACGTATGGAAATATTTCAGTATAAAAAGTCTTGAGTATGTTGGGAGGCTTCGACGATGTCATAATTCAAAAAGGTTAACATGACTTAATTAGTCTAGTGCTTTTTTAATCAAAAAAATAATAACTCTTCTAACGAATTTTTAGTAAAATATTACTATCATACCACCAATTTTTCAGAAAAGAGGCTATTACTTGGGCAAATATATTTGTAAAGATAACCAAATTCCAATGAGTTAACAATTTTCTAAAATTCCAAAACTTAAGACTACGACACTATTTTTGCATTTTGTTAAAGGTTAGAGTTGCTTATTTGGCCTAAAAAACATTTTAAAACTCTTCCTATACATGAGTAAAGATTCGAATGTCATTATTGTATGTTTTGAACTAGGTTGTCAAAAAATGATCTAACTAAATTATATAAATTAAATGAAAACTACCTTTATCCATTGAAATATATTATGGTATGCACATTACTCTGTTTCCCGCCATCCACAAAATGTTACTTTCAGCTATCACTGTAATTATTAAACTTAGTTTAACTTCATGTTAATTATACGATTTCATCTTATTTCGTGTAATAGTTTAAAAAATGAAGCAGTAAAATAATGTTGATCATTAACATCATTTGTAAACATTGTATTAACTTTTTGATCGAATCAAGCAGAAAAATATAAATACATTAAATATTTATTTAAATAATTGTTAAACATATAAAATTAGGTATTGAGGTTTTGTTTTGATACGCCGGTTGAACTCTAAATCCGGCCCGGCTTTTGCCTTAAATAGTGTGTACTTTACATGTGATATTTTTAGATTTGAACTTCCAAAGACTGTTTCTATTTATAGTCAAAATGGGTTTCTGGTTTGAATCACTCATTCAGGTCACCTCTGAGATAGCAAAATGCTTCTTCTTGTGTTAATATCGGATTGTTTGTATTGACATATTGGACTAACGTATTAAAAGGGAAAACTCACACTTGAAAAACAGGAATTTTCTGAAAAATATATTATTCTGCAAATAAATGTACTTAAACTGTTATCTCTATATCTACAAATTTAAAACTATGCTGAAATGGATTAACGGATTATACACTATTCGTCAAAGAACTCATGCGCAGGCTGGTCTGGATCCATGCTGGTCGCAAACCCATTACGTTGGTTTTGTCATGACGCGGCTCATATATCAACCAATGTCTTCTCTATTTTATCTTACATGCAATTCATTTGGCTATTTTTAGAAAGGTTTCTTTAAATAGTGTATCGTGTGATATATTTCGCTGTAAAATTCCCATAACTGTATCTATTTATAGTGAAAATGGTTTTCTAGCTGATGAGTTGTTAAAATCATCTCATACTACGAAGCAAAAGGTAGAAAGGCGTCAGTTAGGATATAATTTTAATGAGAAAGGTAAAATCTATTAAAATTACTCCTTGTGTAACCTTGTTAAACTCACTAGATTATAGTTAATTTAATTTCACTGTAACGTATAAAATACTTATGTATGAAACCGGACAGATATTAAAAGAGGTTAACGTTACAACATAATGAAATACAAATTGAAAGAGGTTATAGCATAATAAAATACAAATTTATATAGAGATTGGTAAAAGTGTACTTTGTCGAGAAATTTAGTCTGAAATAGTTATTTAATTTATCCACATTATACAAATCAATAAATTTATTTCCTCATGAACAATGTCATTAAAAGATACCCTAGCATAAGATGAATATTAAGACATTATTGTTATATCAGCGAAATTTTTTATGAACTTTATAATTGTCTATTTTTGCAAATTTTAACTGTAATAAAACCGGTTTTACCTGCGATAATCCTGGTTGTGCTATTTATTCTATATAAAAATACTTAAAAAGAATTGCAGCAATAATTTACTATATTGAACTATAAAATGGATTTTTACTGATACATTTGATAAGTAACTTTTGCACATTATTTAATTGATATTTATCAACATTTGTATAACTTTTGCTACTGAAATAATCCATACACATTTTTTCTACAAAAATAAAGAAACAAATAATGCTATTTGTATATATTTATAATGGGTTTCCTTATTACTTGTTCATTTTACAGATGGCAGACAAATATTATAGACTTGTTTGCTTTGTGGTAGACATTTGTGCTGACGTATTAAGGAAATATTTTGTCAAACTTGCAAAAACTGATGCAGGGAACACTTATACATCAGTCGAGGCATACCTATCTCACAGAAATCGGGATGTGATGCAATTATTTAATAGCAAAAAGCTCAAGAGAGATCAGTATCATTTATTGTATCCTGATAACGGCACCGCTGATGAAAACCAATGGGACATCTCAATACTGGTAACATTGATAACAGAACTTTTTGCGATGCGTCTGCAGCCACTCGTTGTCGTCGCGTTGAAATATGAAATTCGGGGGATTCGAAATGAGTTGCAGTGTCTTCCAAATACTGGCAATATTTCAGATGATGACTTCGATGATTGGTGGAGAAGATTGGACGATTCTGTTAGGCTTATAGCAAAAATTACGCTTGATACAAATGAGCAAGCATCCTTACTAGAGAAAATTTCCATTCTCAGACAAGAGACGGTCCAGAAACCAGGACCTTCAGGTAAGTGTCAGTAATCATACATAAATTTAAGGTTTATATAGCCTTGTATTTTTATTTCTATAAGATCCTGTCATAGTATTAGATCTTATTTATCACAATCAACACCAACATTTGATATGATAAGCTAAGTGAAATTATTGAACTTTTTCAAAGTTATATCTGTCTATTCGATTTTGTAAAGAAACGTTGCACACAAATCTCAAAATGGTTTATGTTTGTTTTGATTGTTACTTATTTCTGACATTGTGCAGAAAGTCTAAACCTAATTGATGTTTCATTTTATTGGAAATTGATACATTTTACTTCAGAGGTAAAAAGTAAAAGAACCAAAGTTGCTGATGATGTTTTGGCACGGTTACAAGGTAGGTGTGTAATTAAAGAAACAACTTTCGAGTTGTATTATCTACATTCCTTTTCAACGTACAACGGAAACATTTGTATTCAATTCACACATACACACACGCACGCACGTACGCACGCACCAAACCCTATTCTAATCTAAAAATCTGATTATATATATTCTTGTTTAATCTATCATTTCAGAATATATATATCAGTATCTCTTTGATCAAATTTAGTAAAAGTAAATACCAGATACGTTTTTGTCTTTTCTAATTTTATTTTGTTTCCGTGACGGCATCTTGTGCATACAATCATTTTCTATTTTAAGCGGGTTTTGAGTCAACGATGAAAGAACTATCAGACGATTTCAAACCACCAAATGAAATGACAGACATTCGAGCTAAACTAAGAGATTGCCATCATGTGGTTGTAACCGGATGCAACAATAACCGTTACTTTGAGACTGCTCTTGCAGCAATAAAGGGGATGGACTATAATATAAAACGAAGCGTAGAAATGCATACATCATCTGATTGGCGGCACATTAATCCTGAAGATGTAGACTTGGTTTTATGTATAGATCCATTTGGAAGATTATTTTACGATGAAAGCAAAGCTAAAGCCATGGAAGATATATTTAAAAGCATGATACATTCTACAAAGAAAGATGATGGTGATAAAGCCTTGGACATTGTCATAGTTACAGACTTAAATATATTGCAAGAGTGTAAAATGCATCATGACCATGAACTCTTAGACAAAGTGGTAAAGGTGTTTACTGATACAAGTTCAACACAATCAGCCGATCTTACAATAGGTACATTTTTATTATGCACCTGTCTTATATAATTAATGTCATATATATTTCTTTTACTCCTGTTTAGATTAAAAGACCATTAAGCCTCACCTCAAAATGCTAATATTTTTTCTATTTATTTAGTTTCAAAGACTTTAGTCATTCAGCATAGTTAAAGCTGAGCCATCTTATGTATACTTGGCTGTACGTAAAGTTATTATGGTTAATTATTTTTTATGTACTATTCCCTTTACATTTTGCCACTTTCAACACAAAGCAAATCTCATTTAGCCCTTGTTTCAGGTAAGATGCATCTCACATGTTCTTAACCTATAATAACTACATTACAAAACTCATATTTGCCCCTTCCGCTGAACGCAAAATGTTATTATACCCCCGCAAAACAAAGTTGTAAAAGGGTATACTGGAACCAGCTTGGCCGGCTATCCGTCGGTTTTCCTTGACCGCCCAATACCTTAAGAATCCTTTGACCCACAGTCTTCATATTTGGTATTGTAATTGGTCATGATTAGTAGATGACCCCTATTGATTTTGAGGTCACTGGATCAAAAGTCAAGGTTACAGAGGCATCGGCTTAACAAAGCTTGTCCACTCGATTGATTTAGAATGCTTTGGTCAACAGTCCTCATATTTGGTATTAAGTTTGATTTTGACTAGAAGGTGACCCTATTGATTTTGAGGTCACTAGGTCAAAGGTCAAGGTAAGAAGATCTTTGACTAAAAAAGCGTGTCCACCCAAAAACTTAGGAATCCTTTGACCGAACAGTCTTCATATTTTGCATGGAGGTTAGTCATGACCATTTCATGACCTTTATTGCTTTTTAAGTCAATGGGTCAACGGTCAAGGTCACATGGGTCTTGACTTCAAAAGATTGTCCGACCAATAACCTAATAATCCTTTTCATACAGTCTTCATATTTGGCATGGACGTTGGTCATGACCATTTGGTGACCTCTATTGATTTTGAGGTCACCGGGTCAAAGGTCAAGGTAAGGTCACAGATTAAGGTTAAAAAGCTTGTCCGCTCAATTGCTTAAGAATCCTTTTGTCAACAGTCTTCATATTTGGTATTGAGGTTGGTTATGACTTGTAGATAACCCCTACTGATTTTGAGGTATCTAGATCAAAGGTCAAGATGGGAAGAAGAGCCTTGACTAAAAAACTTACCTGCGTGAAATTGTTGGTAAAAGTATTCTTAAGATATCGGGCGGACAAGGAAAAACGTGAGAAAAGGGTAAAGTTGACAAATGTATTAACGAAATTGGACGAAATGCCATTCTAGACCACATTGTGGATGTGCCTTTACAAACAATTGTCGTTAAATCAGAGGTTACTGAACGTACATTGAGCCTCTCGCATAGTGATATATACCATATCTCATATCTTTGTTTTGTTGCTTTCAATAAGTATTTTACTACATCACCCTCAAAAAGTGTTGAATTGCATGTATTGACAGTAAGATTTTAAGATTGAATGCATTTCTTTTTTTCTGTTAAACTTGGGACTAGATTATGGACATCTGTCCGGACATTTAATAACTACATATCATTCTATGGTCACATTATCAAATACCACACAGTCTAAGAACTACACACAACCATTGTCAGTGGTACCGTCACAAGGGCTAATCTTGCCTTCGGTTTATACAGAAACTATTTCCTTAGCGCAAATGGAAGATTTGTCCTACATAAATTATTATTTAATTAAAAAATATAGTATTCAAACATAATTATAAAAAAAAGCTCTTATTACTCCTGGGAAAAGGGCAGGAAAACACTGTATAAAACTTTGGGCGATATTAATCTACAGTTATTAAAAAAAAAACCATAATCGTAACAAGCAAACAAATCATTTTTTTACTTAAAACTTTTAAATTTTTACCGACAGGAAACTACAGATCTTACTGTAAAAAAATTTTTTTAAATCAAAAATACAACCTATTTTTTGGGATATGGGGTCGAAAATTGGTTTCTATAAAATAAAGATAAATTTACTTTTAAATTACAAATATGAAATATGCATTTACGAAATGGTCAACTCCTGATAAGTATTTATAGGAGAGTTTTCGTTTTTCACTTATTTCAAAAAGATTTTTAAAATTTTCAAAAAATTGTTTGGTTTTTATAAATTTATTTTTTTAAAAAATAAATTTAATTTGTTTGAATGGGGGCTTAATTTTCATTTTTTATGGCCCTTTAAGTTAAAAAAAAACAGACTTGACCCCTTTATTCAAAAAAAACCTTTACATTGAAAAAAACATTGAAATTTTCGTCATATTTTTGCTGTTACTTGCTATACATTCATATTGAGACACAACATTATATTACAATCAGATCTTCATGTGTATCAAACTCAAATTGACCGTAGTTAATTAAAGACATTGACCTTGAAATTCCAATATTTGAATGGTCACTGCTGTTTGCAAAACTGACTTGGTCATGAATAAATAGATTATCTTCATACTTAGATAAAACAACCGTTTGGACAAGACCCTCTAAAAAGTTGAACTGACATTGACCTTTATATGACACGATTGTTATACGTATGTGTATTTAATGAATATTGAACATACACAAATCTTATATTTGTAACATACTTATGTGTATTTGATAAATATTGAAAATACGAAAACAAAATAAGACATGACTTTTTTATTTCAAGTATTTGGAAATGTTATAATAAAAATGTATCTGTTGTTTAGACATCATTCAGACAAGGGAGATAATTATGTGTAAATGTTATTATAATAATTATACTGTCAGTACTGAGTTTATCAATATATGCTATGTTTACAGCATATTCAGGAATTAAAAAAATAAGGATAAGAGCAAATTACAAACAACTTATATTGATTATGTCTCTTTACAAAATTAGTTTTAAACGCGTAAGATAAAGAACATTATTTATCAGTCAACTTTCTTAAAAAATCACCAAAAGCTTTTATAATACCTAGTGGAGAAATATTTATTATGTTAATGGAACTAACTGCAATCTTTGGAAGATTACTTTCTAAGGATAAGTAAATATTGATGAACTTCCATACTCAGCAAAAAAGGTAAGTAAATATTGATTGACTTCTGTAATAAGTCCGTCATCCAAACACAGTTGTTCGATACAGCTAAAATTTAATGCATATCATCTAACAGCAGGCGTGACTGTTTCATAATTTTCTTTTCGTTTAGATAATACAATACCTGATGAGATTTCAAGTGATCCGAGAACAAGAGAACTCTATGAAAAGGCAATACAGAAAGGCACTGAAAAAGACAGCATAATTCGAATTATGGTTATTGGTTGTTTTGGACAAGGCAAAACGTCATTAGTAAGGAATTTATTGAAACAGTCAATTGAAGGAGTTGAAACAACGAACGGCATTGATTTGCATAAATGTACAGTTATCAACGATAATGACTGGAAGATGTTAGACAATGAAGATCTCAATAAAGAAACAGTTCAGCGCTTGGTAAATATTGCACTTAAAGAAACAACTTACGAGACAACTTCATCTGCTTCCGAAGAAGAAAACTGCCTTCCTAACAAACATGAATTAAGACCTCAATCCGCAATGGATATCTCAAGAACAACGGATGAAAAAAATGATAAAACTGATGAGTACGAAGACAAAAGGGAAAACGTTAAAATAAACAAATCTCAAATTGCTGACGCTGCTGAAACATTAGTTAGAAATAAAAAAGTCAATTACGAAAACTTAAATTCATTCAAGACTGAATTAGAAATTGTTGAATCAATTCAGGAGGAAATAAAACTTGAAAACAATGTCACACTAAATGTATGGGACTACGGAGGAGAATTTGTCTTTTATGCAACTCATCAAATATTTCATTCAAAACAAGCTGTTTATCTGCTTGTATTTAATCTTAGCATTGCCCTGGACACAATTATCGAAGATAAGGAGTTCCCATTACATCAAAAGAAAATGAGGGATTATTTAAAATTCTGGGTGACGTCTGTAAGCTCTTTTGTTGGGAGTAGGGATGGAATGGAGCCCGCTATTGTTTTAGTGGGAACCCACGCGGACAAATTGAATGCGAGAAGCAATAGTGAGGACTATTTTGAGAATGTAAGGCAAATATTTGGCCACAGTGTATGTCTTAATCATATTCAATCCAATCAATTTGCTATTTCAAACACAAATGGGTCAGAAAGCGAATTTGATGCACTACGATCGTATATTACACGTTTAGGACAAAGACAATTGAAAACAAGAATTCCGGCTAAATGGATTCTCCTTGAGACGGCTCTTAAAATGAACAAACAGAAAAAAATAATAACAATTGATCAACTTATAGAAATAGACAGTCATACGGATAGTCCTTTACAAACTGACGACTCAAAAGAAACCATGGACCAGATCAAACTGTTTCTGTCATATCATCATGCAAAGGGAACATTCTGTTATTTTGATGAGAACAATTTGTCAAACCATGTTGTTTTAGATCCACAATTCCTTGTTGACGCTTTCAGGTGCGTATTTACATCTGAAAAATTTTGCAAAGTGCGCCCAAAAATGAGACATGTTTGGGAAGAATTGTGTAACACCGCAATTATACGCGCAGAGCTTTTTGAAGAGGTTTGGAGACAAGAAAAAGATAACAATTTCTATGAGTTCAAACAGCTATTGATAGAGTACATGCAAAAACATCATATTATAGCGGAAGTCCTAGCTTATGAGCTTGAGTCTGAGTCGGTCATAAAACGATTAGGGTATTTCATTGTACCAAGTTTACTCAAGATTTCAGCCGATGATGACACTATGAGGTCATATTTGGAAGGAAAACCATTGTCAACAGTTTCTTTGTGCTACAAGTTTGAACATGAAACGATGGCCCCCTTCACTTATCAGGCCTGTTTAGCCGGTCTTATTGGACGATGGCCACTTGCAAATCTCGACAACACCCATGTTTTGTTTGATAACGTAGCTGCATGTGAAATAGAGCGAGAACACGCTGGTGTATTGATGCTGACGGAAAACAAACTCGAGCTTCTCGTTGTTAGTCTTTGTCCTCCCGACAATGTCAAAGCTGATGTCTGTGATATGTTTCGCCGATATGTAGAGGCAGTTATGATAAAAAGGATGCATAAATTAAATGCAAATAAGCATGAGGGACAGTTTTTTAGTCTTGCTGCGAGGTGTTTACATACAGATCATGGAACAAGGGGAAGTAGTAGAACATTTTCTATTGACAACATACAATCATGTAATTATGAGAAAATACCATGTCCCGATGGAAGAAGTCACTGCTTACAGGTACGCAGTATTGTGAAGGAATGGTTCATGACGGATTTAAAACAAGATAATGTTCCGAAGAGAAAATTATCAGATAAAGAGTATAGCACTTTGGCAATGGCAATTGGAAACGGTTGGGATCTGCTTGGATCGCAACTTGGTCTTAATTACATAACTTTAGATCATATTCGTATGGATAAAGATAATACTGCAGCGCGCATATATGAAATGTTTTTGAAATGGGATAGCCAGGAAGGAGACCAAGCTACCTTAGACGTTATTGTACAAGCGATAGAAAACTGCAACTCGGAAAAAGTACATGTTAATTTGGATGTTATAAAGAATATTATCAACGGGTTCTGAGCCTATGAATTCGTTAAGCGTGTATTACAAACGAGATAACTGTTCAGGTCGTCCGAAAAAACAAAAACAAAAAACCAAAAAACAAAAAAAAAACATGAATTGTTTGTTAATATAAACATATTTTTGTTGAATTTCAAAAAGATATTTCATACTACGTGATAATTTGTACAAATGTATAATATATTTGAATGAGACTATCGGTGGAATTGATAACATACACATTACTCTTAAACATACATTCAATGAACGTTTTAATATGTTTCATTTTACCTGCATTTTTAGCTCACCTGTCACAAAGTGACAGGGTGAGCTTTTGTGATCGCTTTTCGTCCGGCGTCCGTCCGTCGTCCGTCCGTCGTCTGTCCGTAAACTTTTACTTTAAATGACATCTCCTCATAAACCACTAAGCCAATTTCATCCAAACTTCACAGGAATGTTCCTTTGGTGGTCACCTTTAAAAATTGTTCAAAGAATTTAATTCCATGCAGAACTCTGGTTGACATGGCAACCGAAAGAAAAAACTTTAAATATCTTCTTTTAAAAAACCATAAGAGCTAGAGCTTAGATATTTGGCATGAAACATCTTCTAGTGAGTGTCTACCAAGTTTGTTCAAATAAAAGCCCTGGGGTCAAAATTGGCCCCGCCCCGGGGGGTCATTGATTTTCCCTATATGCATATAGTAAAAACTTAAAAAATCTTCTTTTAAAGAACCAAAAGAGCTAGAGCTAAGATATTTAGCATGAAATATGTTCTAATGGGTGTCTACCAAGTTTGTTCAAATAAAAGCCCTGGGGTCAAAATTGGCCCCGCCCCGGGGGTCATTGATTTTCCCTATATGCATATGGTAAAAACTTAAAAAATCTTCTTTTAAAGAACTCAAAGAGCTATGGCTAAGATATTTAGCATCAAACATGTTCTATTAGGTGTCTACCAAGTTTGTTCAAATAAAAGCCCTGGGGTCAAAATTGGCCCCGCCCCAGGGGGTCATTGATTTTCCCTATATGCATATAGTAAAAACTTAAAAGATCTTCTTTTAAAGAACCAAAAGAGTTAGAGCTAAGATATTTAGCATGAAACATGTTCTAATAAGTGTCTACCAAGTTTGTTCAAATAAAAGCCCTGGGGTCAAAATTGGCCCCGCCCCGGGGGGTCATTGATTTTCCTATATGCATATAGTAAAAACTTAAAAAATCTTCTTTTAAAGAACTCAAAGAGCTATGGCTAAGCTATTTAGCATCAAACATGTTCTATTAGGTGTCTACCAAGTTTGTTCAAATAAAAGCCCAGGGGTCAAAATTGGCACCGCCCCGGGGGTCATTGATTTTCCTTATATGTGTATAGCAAAAACTTGAAAAATCTTCTTTGAAAAAACCCAAATAGCTAGAGTTAAGATATTAAGTATGAAACATATTTTAGTGAGTGTCTACAAAGTTTGTTCAAATAAAAGACCTGGGGTCAGAATTGGCCCCGCCCAGGGGGTCATTCATTTTCTTTATATGTGTATAGCAAAAACTTAAAATCTTCTTTGAAAAAACCCAAATAGCTAGAGTTTAGATATTAAGCATGAAACATCTTCTAGTAAGTGTCTACAAAGTTTGTTCAAATAAAAGCCCTGGCCCGGCCCCAGGGGTGTCATTGTTTTTAACTATATGTGTATAGTAAAAACTTAAAAAAAAATCTTCTTTTAAAAAGCCCAATGAGCTAGGGCTTAGATGTTTAGCATGAAACATCTTCTTATGGGTGTCTACCAAGTTTGTGCAAATAAAAGCCCTTGGGTTAAATTGGCCCTGCAACGTTGGGGGGGGGGGGGTTGGGGGGGTTGGGGGGGGTTGGGGGGTTGGGTGGGGCCTATATACAGGTGAGCGACCTCAGGGCCATCATGGCCCTCTTGTTTATATACTTTTTTGTTCTTGTTTTTTAAACATAAGCTATGTAATAGTAAAATAAAGTTTTACAAAAAAGGCAAAACATTTCCAAAAATACTCAAACATGTTTGTAATCGTTGTTTTGTCGTAATACCAGTGTATCACTTGAGCTTTACACAATGAATATATTTTCCTTTTATAGAAAGTCTCATTATATTTTTGGTTGCATTTCATATGCAGAAATATCATTGGAGATTACAAGGCGGTCACTTGTGGAGATATTGGTAATTTCAAGTTGGATATCCAGGATGGCTGTAGACTACCAACTTACCATAACTTCAATAGCTTTATTTCTTATATCCGGGATATAATAATAGCTGGACAAGCAATTCATAGTCTAGATGACTGGTCTTACATTGGCATTTAATTGACAGTCGCGTGATTGAAAGAAATAGTGTTTCAATCATATGTGAAAATTATATAGATATGTTTTCACAACATCACCTCAAAACACAGTAATAAAATATCAAACGAGAAGGCTGCAATCTCGTATTTACACCATTTACTACGCGAAAAATATCCTTTTCGATAAAACATAATCAGGAGGAAGCATGCGCCTAATTCGTCGAAATGAAAGCATGACGCTTATTCTCAGCTACTCGTTCCATTATAAAATTGTCCCAGATTTCATATACTTCTATGTTGTCGTTGCTGTGTTTACATTACAAAACCGTATGCCAATAAAATCAAGTATCATAACTTAGTTTTATTTAAGCAAATCTGCCTCCTAATTGTCCCACATATGCTTGGGGTCAGATCCTACCCCAAACGTCATACGCCCCTGTAAACACTCTATCAAAAATACATTTTAATATTTAAACACGAATGGGACATCTGCTACAACGATACAACTGGTTTTCAAACAATTTTTACATATCTGAAAAATTACCTTTTACAATCAAGTCTCAATAAAGTACATGTACTTTCTTCAATCACATTGAATGGCACAAGTATTAACAAAAAGTCATGTCATATCTCATGTGGAGTTCGTGTAGATGATCAAGGTTATGTTTATGTAACTAATTTAAAACGGAATATTTTACAAATTAGTGAAGATGGTAGAACTATACTTCAAGTCATAACAAACCTATCTGACATGACAGGTGCATTTACTCGTACATTAACATTTGATAGGAAAAATACAGCTCTGATAGCAGCAGGGTGGTCAAACACAATTATTGTCCTTAAACTAAGGAAACAATGTCAAACTCAAAAAAGATGAATAAATAGGATACAGTGATCATATGATGGACAATTAAATAAAGTTAAGATTTCTTAATATATAATACACTTTATTTTCACTAGAATTATTCTTTACTAGATTACAGAACAAAAATGATTAGCTGTTTTCCCTTCATAGTATTGAAAATGCAAGATATATGTTTATAAACTTTGACTTTGACAATACAACATAAGAATTTGATTATTTACTAGTAATAAGACACCTCCTATTCCTTCCTTTTACAAGTCAAAAGTACACCTCTTAATGATTATTTTAGTATGATTTTGAAGAAAACAACCTCAAATTGTATGGATATTTTTATGATATTTTATTCAAAAATAATGTTATCAACATTTCAAATAATACAGTATAATACAACAAATTAAAGTACAATAAAAACAATATCGTACATTTACAATAATAACAATAATGCTTGTGCTATTATATGTAATTATGCAGTATTTCAATCATGAATTTTACATGGTGCCTTAAAGATCCTTTACACATATAGAAAATATGTTCTATATGTTCTCTACATATCGCATGTAAGTATTTTGAATTTTGTTTCACATATTCAATTCTATTCATATTTTGTTATGTCATTTGTACATATTATTTCATTGAACATCTTTGTGTTTTTTGGATCAAGTAAATAAAATCAGCTTTCATTTAATAAATTTTTCTTTATTATTACTGTCCAGTCATATATGCTTCTGTTTATATGAAGTGATTGATTATTATATTACACATTAGTAAGCTAAAAACAGTTGGTCGCACAAGTTTCCTTTAAGGACGTTTTAGGGAGTTTTCATATAGACATATAAGCAAAATTAAAACTGTTCTAGAGAATTTCTTGAAACTTGGTATGCTGTTAGAATTTGATAACAGAAACATTTTAAGCGAAATAAAATTGGGGTCACCATTCTCGTTTTTGAGTTATCTGCCTCTGAATCAGAATTTCTACGTATTTGAAGCCATTTAAAGAGCAGATAACTTATAATTTAGATAACATATACGTAAATGAATTCTTGTTTTTACTTCTGGATAATGTTTTTCTTTTTATTGTTGAATACAATACATAATTACATGCAATTCCTTATATCGTTTCTGTAAATTTCTTTTCAATGAAAATAAAGGTACTTTAAATTCATAAAAACTAGGCCAATTTGTTTAAGAAAAAATACACAGGTTAAGAGGAGAAGTGGGAAAAAAAACTATCCACTCTAAATTTGTTCTTGAAACTTTGCATATTGACTAAGACAAAGGTAAGCTTCATGAAAATTAGATGAAAACATGTATAGTTTTGCTTCATTGTAAAATATCTGCCCTTGAATTTTACAAAAATGACAATTCAAGGGCAGATAACTCAAAAATGAGAATGGTGACCCCATTTTTTCCGTTTAAAATGTTTCTGTTATATATCTATATGTCTATATGAAAACTCCGGAAAACGTCTTTAAGGGAACTCCCCTGAGGTCCAACAGCTTTTAAACTTTAAATATGAAAATCTGAAAATGATCAATCTGGTCACCTTAAAAGGGAAAAAATGAAAAAAGATAATATGAAATTTACTCAGAATTAAGTTAAAAGTCAATATGTAGAGTGTTTGTCAGCCCGAAAAGAGTAAAAAGCGTTTTAAGATTATTGTTTGCATTAAAACAGTTATTCTGAAAAAAATCCGGAGTGAGCTAATAATGTCAAATTTTACACATAAGCTATTGGTTTAGACCTACATGAAATGATATAAAAATCTTAACAGATATTTCCAGTTCTGTCATGTCAAAAAACCACAGTAGTAATAGCTGGCGATGATAATATTCTGATCAGAACAGGTAAAATGGAAACATTTAAAGTCAGCCAATACAGCAAATTTGACAATATTGCAAACTCAATTGATTAAGCCTGTTAATAAATAGCAGTAGTAAATGCGTTCTTATTTTCTCAGCATTTGATAGTAAAACAAGGCTCTGGAAATGCAGAATAGATTCACAGAAAGCTATAATTCAGTCAGAATTTAAGCAAGACTTAAAAGTCCCAAAGACAATAATTTAAAAGTTTTAATTAACATCTAAACCAACTCAAGATAATGATCTTGTATAATCTAGTATTTATTTTAAGCAGTAAAGAAATATAATTCTGTCAAGTATCATGCTAAATTCATTGGGACTTCTTTCTGTGACCTATAATAATATTGATACAGATGTGTGAATTTTTAATTGAATGCCACCAGTGGTTTATAAAATATAGAAACGAAATATAAACTTGGCCTCAAATTTAAACCAACAGTCACATTAAACACATAAGCAATGGGTATTGTGTATTAGTTCCGCTATTCTATGAATAGTTCTGCTAAAACATTTGAAAAAAGAATATTTCTTTTTCTAACAATGTCACTAACAAAGAACTAAAAATTAACTTAAAGTAAATATCACAACTTGCACATTAACTTTACCACATCACAACATATCAACTGTACACACAAGAAATATACACTTTATATATATTGCACTATCTCCTGCAAAACTACAAAATTTTGGCTTCAAACACAACAACTTAAATAAAATAACATAGATACAATATCAAAGTTAAGTTAGGAGAATTATAACATTAGATTTTACCACATTAGATTTTATTTAGATAATTATTAATGATAAATGGGTTGTCAGTAGGACAATGTGCTCCACTAGTGTCAATGCTTGATTAAAACAAGAGACTTGATAAGGTAATTTTTTTCAAGTTCAAAAAGGGTCATCACTCTGTCAAACACTCATGTTATTGGCCATAAGCAGTGATCTCCTATTATGCTCTCAAATAAGAGTGTGAAGTTGCAATCCATTCCTTTCATTAGTTTATTCTTTAATATATGTGCTTCACTTAACCAATCTTGTCATATTGTCATATATGATAAGGGCATCATAAGAAACATATACATATAAAGTTTGAAATAAATTCCTTGAAATATAGTAATGAATATTATACGGCACAAAAACTTTAACCAGAAATCTAATCAAATCAGTGTGATAACTCTAAATCGTTCAGTCAAGCTTAAACTTGTAAAATATAATCTGGAATGTTAGCTTACTATCTAATGTTAGTTTAAATTTATCTCTTTAAACAACATTATTATGAACATATCATTGACAGTCATAAACACTAACTCTAACAGTTCTTCCAATGGCAATTCTCTCCCTTGACAATTCAAATGCTGTGGCAAGGAACATTTGAATTCAGTGTCAACATAATTTACCAAGCTTAAGTTTCCAAGAATTTAAAGTTCATCTTTAGACAGGAAAGCTAACTCTCACTGTCATCAGCATAATCATCAAAGTTCTCTCCCTGCACTACTTCTGATTGGTGATAGCGCCCCCTACCAGCAAAATCTTCATTGTCTTCTGTAAGCTGTGCAGCAAGGGTGGTAACTGCTGGAGTTGTGGGAGCAACAATTACTTCTTCTTGGCTCCGTTTACCACTACACAAATACAAAATCACACCAGAATAAATAAATTTTTAATTAAAACCAGTGACAATATGCACATCCTAGTGAGTGAACAAGTGAAAGTCAACTCTTTAACAGTCAGCACCTTAATTCCAAACCTGATACTATCGCTCCAGAACCCTGGCATATCAACCCATTACGCCCATAAGTACAATTAACAAAAATATTATACCTTTCTTTTTACTTTTATTTTTAATTTAACTTCACAAAGTAGATTTAAACAGTGTGATAAATATTTTATAAAGTAATGATATCTTACCTTATACATCTTTGTAGACCTGATTTCATCCAATTATAGAAGTTAAATTCAGCTATACCTGTAATTAAAAAACTTATAATGTAATGTAATGCTTGAAAACATGAAGATTTACCCAGAAAGTAGCCAGGGTAACCTTGAAAACATGAAGATTTACCCAGAAAGTAGCCAGGGTAAGCTTGAAAACATAAAGATTTATCAGGAAAGTGGCCAGGGTTAGCTTGAAAACATGAAGATTCACCCTGAAAGTAGCCAGGGTTAGCTTGAAAACATGAAGATTTACACATAAAGTAGCCAGGGTAAGCTTAAAAAGGTGAGAATTTACCCAGAAAGTAGCCAGGGTTAGCTTGAAAACATGAAGATTCACCCTGAAAGTAGCCAGGGTAAGCTTAAAAAGGTGAGGATTTACCGAAAAAGAAGCCTGTGTTAGCTTGAAAACATGAAGATTTATCCTGAAAGTAGCCAGGATTAGCTTGAAAACATGAAGATTTACCCAGAAAGTAGCCTTGGTTAGTTTAAAAACATAAAGATTTACCTGGAAAATAGCTAGGGCTAGCTTGAAATCATAAAGATTTACCTGGGAAGTAGCCAGGGTTAGATTGGCCTATGTAGATGTAGACACCTATGGCAGCAATGACTTCTACTAAAGCATAAATCCACTGTGTTCCAAACATTATCACCCCACACACCAATGTCTGAATTTACGAAAAAACACATCTATCAACATGAAACTATTTTATATAATTCTCAAAGCAATGTTAAGTCATTTTCACAACAGCAATACATATGTGAATTAAAAACAACAATAATTGAATGATAATGAAGTGAATATCAAAGTCAACAGACCTGGTTAATGTGCTTTTCAACAAGGCCATATGGCCCTTGTTAATGTGATATTTACTGAGGCCAAATGGACCTGGTTAATGTGATAATTTTTGACAGAAAGTACGCTGTCTGAAATAAACTGGCACTTACAACACAAAAATAATACATACAAATAAATTCAATATTTGTGCAATTCATAGTCTCCTTTTAGTTAGCATTTAAATATTTTTGTGCCCCCACGTTAGTGGCGGGCATTTAGATTTACCCTTGTCCGTCCGTCCGTTCACTTTTGTGTCGCATGTAACTCAAAAAGTATTTGACCTAGAGTCATGAAACTTTACAGGAATGTTGATCAGCATGTGTAGTTGTGCACCTGGGTATTTTCATCTGGATATTTTTAGTATTTTCAGAGTTATTGCCCTTGACTTAGTAGAATTTTGCAATTTTCAACTTGTGTCGCATGTAATTCAAAAAGTTTTTGACCTAGAGTCATGAAACTTTACAGGAATGTTGATCAGCATGTGTAGTTGTGCACCTGGGTATTTTCGTCTGGATATATTAAGTATTTTCAGAGTTATTGCCCTTGACTTAGTAAAATTTTGCAATTTTCAGCCTTGTGTCGCATGTAACTCAAAAAATATTTGACCTAGAGTCATAAAACTTTACAGGAATGTTGATCAGCATATATAGTTGTGCACCTGGGTATTTTCATGTGGATATTTTTAGTATTTTCAGAGTTATTGGCTTTGACTTAGTAAAATTTGGCAATTTTCAACATGTGTCGCACGTAACTCAAAAAGTATTTGACCTAGAGTAATGTAACTTTATTGATCAGCATGTGCAGTTGTGCACCAGGTATTTTCGTCTGGATTTATTTAGTATTTTTAGAGTTATTGCCCTTCACTTAGAAAATTTTTGCAATTTTCAACTTGGATTTGACATAGTCATTAAACCTTATGGGCAGGTTGCTCAGCATATTTTAGATTTGCACCTGGGGTTTCGCTTGTGGATTTATCAAATATTTGTAGAGTTATTTCCTTTGACTTAGTAAAAAGATTGACAGAACAGTGGCGCGGTGGGGGCACCCGTGTTCTATGGACACATTTCTAGTTCATTATTGGGTCATCTTTCACTACGCTCTGAAATTTTACACAAAAGTTATTGGTCCAGACCAACATCAAATGGTAAATAAATCTCAAAAAAGAGAGAAAAATAATTTCAGTCCTGGGATGACAGAAGTATGGCCCGTTTTTCATTATTGGGTCATTTTTCACTACAAAAGTTATTGGTCCTGACCAACATCAAATGGTAAATAAATCTCAAAAAAAGAGAGCAAAATAATTTCAGTCCTGCAGTGTGGGTTAAGTCCCTTTTATAAAAGTGTCTATGACAAAGTCAATCTAGAATAGTCAGTGTGGAATTTGAGTGGACTGGAACATTGTACAGGACAATTTTTTTCTATCCAGTCAAGGGGAGGTTGTGTAGCGGAAACAGTGATGTAACCAGTCATTAACCAGTGCGGAATTATCCAGATTATATTTTAGGAAAAAACCCACAAGTCTTAAACACATGATTTGTACAGACCCCCAGTTTTTTTGTTGTGTTTAAAGAATAGCCTACAGTCTGTCTATGACACCCTCAAGTACACTTAATACAATACTTACCATACTTCATTCTTTATAAGTAGAATTATCTGCTCTGTTTGTGGTGTAAAAAATGCGAATCACAACAAAATATTACATACATGTATATACATACCCCAAATAATGACAGCCATCTGTTACATAAGAATGAGTACCATGACCTGGGTTGCTTTGTAATTTCCATATTAGGTGGTTGTCTTGGATCTAAACACAAATAAAACTACTAAATGTAAGCTAAAGAAAAATGACTCTTTTATGTGATAAATAGATTATTATATTCATGTAGATTCAATACTAAATTTATTGAACTAGAGCTGTCATCGATAGAATCAATACTGATGTATTGTTGATATTTTTCTGTCAATCAATAATCGATACACATCTATAAACAATCAACAATTTTGACTAATTAATTAAATGTCTAGAAATTATGAAAGTTAACCTAAAACATATACAGAAACAGGTGTCCATGTCTAACTCTATGCTGTTGTTACATAATGAAACTATTTCATAGCAATGATGACAAGTAAAAAAATAATGCAATGGGCATTAATAAACAAGAGGGCCATGATCGCCCTGAGGTCGCTCACCTGTATATAGCCCCCCCACCCCCGGGCCAATTTTTACCCAAGGGCTTTTATTTGTTTATTTGAACAGACTTGGTAGACACCAATAAAAAGATGTTTCATGCTAAACATGTGAGTTCTAGCTCATTGGGTTTTTTAAAAGAAGATTTTTAAAGTTTTTACTATACACATATAGTTAAAAACAATGACACCCCTGGGGCAGGGCCAGTTTTGACCCCCGGGCTTTTATTTGAACAAACTTTAAAGATACTTACTTAAAGATGTTTCGTGCTTAATATCTAAACTCTAGCTATTTGGGTTTTTTCAAAGAAGATTTTTAAGTTTTTGCTATACACATATAAGGAAAATCAATGACCCCCCCGGGCTGGGCCAGTTTTGACCCCAGGGCTTTTATTTGAACATACTTGGTAGACACCCATTAGAACATGTTTCATGCTAAATATCTTAGCTCTAACTCTTTGAGTTCTTTAAAAGAAGATTTTTTAAGTTTTTACTATATGCATATACAATATGCATATAGGGAAAATCAATGACACCCTGGGGCGGGGCCAATTTTGACCCCAGGGCTTTTATTTGAACAAACTTGGTAGACACTCATTAGCAAATGTTTCATGCTAAATATCTTAGCTCTAGCTCTTTGGGTTCTTTAAAAGAAGATTTTTTAAGTTTTTTTCTATATGCATATAGGGAAAATCAATGACCCCCTGGGGCGGGGTCAATTTTGACCCCTGGGCTTTTATTTGAACAAACTTGGTAGACACTCACTAGAAGATGTTTCATGCTTAATATCTTAGCTCTAGCTCTTTGGGTTCTTTAAAAGAAGATTTTTTAAGTTTTTACTATATGCATAAAGGGAAAATCAATGACCCCCTGGGGCGGGGTCAATTTTGACCCAAGGGCTTTTATTTGAACAAACTTGGTAGACATTCACTAGAACATGTTTCATGCTTAATATCTTAGCTCTAGCTCTTTGGGTTCTTTAAAAGAAGATTTTTTAAGTTTTTACTATATGCATAAAGGGAAAATCAATGACCCCCGGGGCGGGGTCAATTTTGATCCCAGGGCTTTTATTTGAACAAACTTGGTAGACATTCACTAGAAGATGTTTCGTGCCAAATATCTAAGCTCTAGCTCTTACGGTTCTTTAAAAGAAGATTTTTTAAGTTTTTACTATATCAGTATATGCATATAGGGAAAATCAATGACCCCCGGGGCGGGGCCAATTTTGACCCCAGGGCTTTTATTTGAACAAACTTGGTAGACACTCACTAGAAGATGTTTCATGCTAAATATCTTAGCTCTAGCTTTTAGGGTTGTTTAAAAGAAGATATTTAAAGATTTTTCTTTTGGTTGCCATGGCAACCAGAGTTCTGCATGGAATTAAATTCTTTGAACAATTTTTAAAGGTGACCACCAAAGGAACATTCCTGTGAAGTTTGGATGAAATTGGCTCAGTGGTTTATGAGGAGATGTCATTTAAAGGAAACGTTTACGGACGGACGACGGACGACGGACGGACGACGGACGGACGCCGGACGAAAAGCGATCACATAAGCTCACCCTGTCACTTTGTGACAGGTGAGCTAAAAAGACACTGAACTCCGATTTTATAAAAATCATTTAAGCAGGTATGAAATAAATGTCAGACACGTAATTATATGTAATTATTGACATATCGATGTATCGCTGATATTTGTCATCAGATATTGATATATCGTTATATATCGTTAAATATCCTTTCCACTAAATCAATGACAGCTCTATGTAGAACTGCTTGGCAGCTGAATAGAATTTATAATCAATCTGAGAACAACCACTGAGCAGTTACATAGAACCACTTGTGTGGCTGTGTAGAACAATTTTTGTTTGATAAATTTAATAAATTCTAAACAATTACATATTAATTTTGTGTTTAATATTTGAAAATATACGTCTGTTCAAGTTAATGGCAACATATTAGTTATCAAAATAAAATTGTTATCCATTTATTTTCAGGAATAAAACCTTGTCTTTCTTTTTTTACAGGGGACTTTAACAACTACCTAATGAATGGGTTCCCTGTACAGATTCCAAAAATTGTTTGTCATTAGCCAGTTCATTTGTTTTTACTTTGACATTCTAAAACTGTTCATATCATATTATTTTGCATAAATAAAAACATATAAATGTTAAAAAACAACAATGACGTACCTCCTTCCTTACAAAGCAACACTTGTGACGAATCACTGACCTCAGAAACATTATCTAGAGATTTTGACCTTTGAGTGGCATCAAAATCAGGCTCTGATGGTGACATCTGACCGTGAGATTCTTTGCCCTGTTGATGAATTAAATGATGTTGACCTCTATGGGTCAATCTCTCTGGAAATAGTTTATCTAAATCAGTACGTATAGTCTGAAAAGAGTCTTTATACGATTTTTCGGTCACACTTGTCGCTCCATACCCACTAATGTCTGTGCTTTTTCTTCGTGATTTATCCTGAACACCGAATCGTAGATCACGTGCTTGCCTATGATCGTAACTCATGGCAAGAGCAAAATAAGAGTAATTTACAGCAGCGTATGACATCATGAATGCTGTTGTGACTATAGGAGCTAAAGTGTTCACGTCTCCAACCAGAACAAACAATAGAACAACTA